CCTCATGACTCATGCCCCGCGCCACGCACAGCGACTAGCCACACTCTCGGAAACATATTTCTGCGTATGTTTAGTTCTCTAAAACATCTTTTAGTTTTATGTGGTTTCCGCGATCATTACCGCCAAACGCCGGAACAGTACCCTCACAAACGGACCTCAGGGACTTGCGCGATCTTTCCTTCCTCTTCCTTGTCTTATCCTCACCCCTGTAATACACTAATATACTTGTGCTTAATGCACTGTAACCCAACACATGTCGGGAACATATGGCTTGTCCCGGCTGGGGCGGTGCCTCGCTGGAGTGAGATACGTGTTTTGGGAATTCCCTATAAGAAGACGGGTAGATCGGCGCCGCGTCTCTGCATCATGTGGGGGAAGTTCACCGCCTTAGGAACAAGCGACCTTAGCAAGTGACCTGTCGCGCCTGGAAACACGAGTCATTGCTGCGCTGCAATCATCGTATTTTCAAAGCAATATGGAAATATCTAATTGAGAAATGTCAGGGTTGCATATGTCGAAAACCAATAAAAGAGCTTTTTCTTCTTTTTCTACAATGATCCAGTTGCTGATTTAGTCAGATGGAGCTATGCCAATTGTGTTTATGCTCATTGTTCGTCTGCTAATGAAATTAGTAATCGAACAGTAAATGTTCTGAGGGAGCGTACGTTCGAAGGATCTGTGTTGACTCAGACTCATAGCATAATATAGGTTTCCTTCTAATTCAGTTACTCGCGTGCGCGGTTTATACTCTCTTCCCCTTGCAAGCCCTAAACTTCACTGACTCTCTAATTCGAATATTTAGTTCTACGAAAGGGCTGGAGAATTGATTTTATGTTGCCGTTGACAAGAAAGGAGAAACGAAACCTTCGTCAACGGAACAGATAAAAGTGAATACATGAAGAAAGATGGTAGGAATTCGAAAACAGAGTAATTATTCCAGAACTATCAAGAGCCAAATTTAGTTGCCTGTGGCTATTAAAGGAACGCGAAGACTATATTCTAATTTAGCCATTTTGATCAACTATCATACATTTTCGATGTTGCAGTTCCTGCAGTTTTTAATAAAACGTTATTCTATTCTGAGGTTGTAAATATCACTTGCAATTCGTGGTGCAACGTGAAGAATGTGGTGTCGACTGCAACGTATTTTCTGCCCTTCGTCACCTGTGTAACACCGATCCGAGAGTCGCGTTGGAGGCCTAGTGAGCCGTTGGCCCACCTCCCGGCGGCTGCTGAGCGTTTCCCTTCAATTAAGCTGAGGGCACTAGAAATGTTCGCGCTCCAATTAACTCCAGAATGAGGCCCTCCGTCGCCCTCGCACGCACCCACGCCGAGCGTCCGCGCTGTCGCCCACACCCTCGCTCTCGCTCTCGCCCGCGCCCGCGCCCTCGCTATCGTCCTCGCCTGCGCCCGCGCCCTCGCCCTCGCCTGCGCCCGCGCCCTCGCCCTCGCCCTCGCCGGCGTCCTCGCCGGCGCCCTCGCCCACACCCTCGCTCTCGGCCCCGCCCTCGCCCTCGCTTTTGTCTGCGCTCGCGCCCTCGCCCGCACCTTCGCCCTCGCCCGTGTCCTTGCCTGCGCCCTCGCCCGCGCCCATGCCCTCGCCCTAACCCTCGCTCTCGGCCCCGCCCTCGCCGGCGCCCGCGCACTCGCCCTCGCCCTCGCTCTCGGCCCCGCCCTCGCCTGCGCTCTCGCCCTCGCCCTCGACCGCGCCCTCGCCCTCGCCTGCGCCCGCGCTCTCGCCCTCGCCCGTGTCCTCTCTCACACCCGCACCGAGCACGAAGGGCCTCATTCAACTCCCATCTTTGGACGTACCTGGGCAATCCATCATTAATCCGAGTCCTCTCATTTTGGGCTTTGTATCTTTGGCAAGCTCATTCTGTCACATCTTCTAAACCCAAGGATGCGTGGATCCAGGAAACTACCTCACTACATACGCAGGGCCTCTGAGTCCCTGTGCATTACGCTCTCGATAGAAGCTCATAAAAATTGCTTTTTATTTTTAATAACTTGATTTCTCATTAATTTCGGATAGGGTCAACTCTTAATGCTCAACAAATGATTATTTAAATAACTATTAATAGGGCCTTAAAAGCCCTGCCTATGCATTGAGGTAATCGAATCAAATTTCAGGGCCTACCTATATAACGTCTGAGAATTTATCCTTTGCCAGTTACAAGAATGAAAGTAGAAAGATAGAAGAAATGTTACATGTTAATGTTACATGGAGGGTAGGCTCTCAGAAATGCAGCTGTGCTGATTAAAAATAACATTAAGGCCTCGGAGTCTTTGCATAAGCATGTTTGGGTTCAACACGTTACAGCCTACATCAGTGTTCTGAAGAACGTAACACAAAACTAGGATTTAGTCTTTGTTTGGGAACGTAAAAGCTTACTATTTCACATGCGTTTTTCTGCAGATTTGTTTTGCCAGCGTTTTCCCTTACAATTTAACACCAGGCGACTGTACATCTAATACTGTTGGTCCAAAATCGGTGTTTCTTTGCTACTCCGATCGGAGGTATCTCGGCGTGAGTTCTTGTGCCGCCTAGAATTCTTGTGCGCGCAGGGCGGGGGGAGGGGCAGCGTTTGCTCTGTCGGGGGGTCTCCTGCGGAGCGAAGAGCGAAATCCGGGGGAGTGTTTGACTTAGGCGTCTTGGAGCTTAGCAGCGAGGGGCGAGGCGCCGGCCGAGCGATGCGGGCGCGCCGGGCAGCTGTTTGCCCGCGGCGCGGCGGCCGCGCGCCCTCCGGCAGGTCTTGACCGGCCCCGGGCAAACAGCCTTGCCCGATTGCGCCTCGCCTCCCCCCGGCACCAGCTCTGCTTCGCGGCGGCCAATAGTCTGTATTACTAATTTCGATTTCAGGGGAAAAATGGGGGAAAGATAAGCAGCCGCTGGCCGTGTGGGGGATGTCAATGGTTTCCTTTGATGCCCAGGAACTCGGGGAATAATACAAAAAACATGAAACAGTTTCGACTTTGACTCAAACAATTATTTGATGACGCGAATACTAAATTTCTCTGCGTATATAATTGGAGCTTATTTTATTCTTCAGTTTCTTTCTGAATATTATCAACACTTTTATCATTGAATTCATCTCTGTGGAAATTCAAGAGTGGTGATGAAAAAATATATACTTCCAGTTTCAAAAAGTTATGTCAATTTTTCAAAAAATAAAAAAATTCTCATACTTATTATTTTAATAAAAATGTTAATATTTATAATTTCCAGCTCATCTAGCCTCTTGCAGAGTTGCCAGAATGTTGAGCCCAATCAAAAATAGGTCCAATTGATTCTAATGGGTTTAACATTAATTCAACAAACCTTATTTTCATTAAACATTGAATTTCATAAAAACAAAAAAAAAAGTAACATTTCGCTTTTCTAATGCTGGTCTCTTCCGTCGTATTTTCAGTATTTCGTGCGACTGAAGATAGCTGTAAGTTATCCGGTGGGGCGTCTGGAGCCTCGTAAAGAGTTGCCGGAATATTGAGTGGAGCGCTCTTTCAAGGGGTCGTCGTGTGCGAATGAATGCGACACTTGGGTATTTCGTACCTCAGCTGCTTGGCATTCGACTGCTTGAAAGAAGCTAGGGGAGGGGGGCAGCCTCGTTCGATTTGGAGGCGCCGAAATGAGAAACTAGGCCTGGCGAGGTCTTCGCCAAACTGCCGTTTCCACCGTCGAAAAGTTGTCCAAGATTCTCGTTTATTAAAAATCCTACGCGGCAGTGGAGCTTCAGGCCCTCGGATAATTTCGAGTCTAACTTCGTTCCCGGGAACAAAACGTTCATTTGTTACTCCTCACGGCGGGGCGGAGGGGGGGGCGAAGGAGGGCGACCTACGCCCCCGCCCGCCCCGATCCCCCGACCGATAGCGGCGCAGAACTCGGGTAATTATTTCTGTTATCTAATTTTGTGATTGTAACTGAAATGTGGGCGCTTCCCAAAGCTTGCAATAATTTTGGAGTGAAAGGCGAATTTTGTGTCGCTTCTCTCCTATCTCTGAGCGTCCGCTCTTGACGTAATTATAACTAAAGCATATCTCTCTCTTCCCCACGCAGTCGCCGCCGTCGCCCCAGGGCCTCGAAGTGTTTGTCTAAGGCGCCTTCGGCGGGGCGTGTGCCGACTGCATCCCGTGGCCAACTTTTCCTACGCCGTTTGCCTCCCTCTCTCAAATTGCATCGCCCGTCTGCACCCCACTCCTCCTTACTATGAGGATTGATTTTCTGTTTACCGTAACCTGCTTAGTATTATACTGGTTGATTATAATTGATCCACTTCTCTGTTTCCAAGTAACATTTGCACGTCCTTTTAGAGTACTGACAACGTTGAAAATCACATAAAAGTTTGTGGAAATAAAACTTCCAATCTCGTATCTCGAGAACCCTCTTACCCTGCTGACTTTACCTACTCAATTCCAAAGATTCTGCCATGATCACCTGTTTTCGTAGTTTTCTCTGGACTGGTGCGAGAACATCTACGAATTTTTGCGCTACTTGTGAATGGAAAAAAAATGTTGACTCCTTACGAAAAGCTGGTGAACAAAATGGGATGCAGTCGGACTGTGCCTTCTCAGGTAACGAAAAGTGAAAGGAGATTAGTTGGGAAGCGGGGGTGAGGAATGACTGATTGCAGGGTGCAGTCGGACGATTCTCTTTCACGTGGCGTACTCAGGCAAGTTTCTTGCGCGTTTGGTCGTTCGCGCGAAATTCATTACTTGTGTTTCCCCCAAAACGCGTGGCCGTTCTTCGATACGAAATACACCTGTGATCTTACCTTGGGAACTATCTTCATCCCTAGTTTCATGGAAATTCGCATTTCTCAACACTGAACGTCGTATGGGGTTTTATCTTCTCGCCTAGTTTCATTCAATTCTGATTTCCTCAACGCTGAACTTTGCATGGGGAATCCTGAACCTGTGAACTTCGAATGGGGAACTATCTTCACGCCTAATTTCATTGAATTCGCTTTTCTCAACCCTGAACTTCGAATGCGGAATCATGAACACTTGAACTTGACATGGGGAACTATATCCGTTTCGTGGAATTCCGCATTTCTCAAACGTGGCTGCTCCACTGCCATCTGTACTTGGTTACTTGAGGCTGCAGAGCCCTCGCTGAGGAGGGATCGCGATGCCAGGGTGGAGGGGGGGAGCTCGATGCCGTCGGAGGGGCAATGCCGCTTCAGCGCTCTGACCGGCCGCCCCGACATAATGAACGCATGAATAAAGGAGGAGCGCGGATTAGAGCTGACGGAGGAAACTCCCGGCAGATTAAAAATAAAAAGATGCGCAGGTGCTGATAAGGAAGAAGGAAAACGGAAAAGGTTAAGATGAATAAAAGATTGTCCGAAGAGAAGCTTATTACAAAAGACTTTCTAGTGAAAGACAACAAATTGAATCAGCTCATCAATTAATTAAACATAATGAATGAGGGACGGGACGAAGAGTGGCGGCCGACTTGTCCGCCAGGGGCGCGCGCGTCGCAGCTCCCGGGCGAGAGTCTTGGTCGACTTTTCTAGGAAATAACCAACGCTATCCTTCACCTTTTCAGCGCAATGAGGACTGTTTGTGTTTATAGTTTTTGTACCTGCAGGACATTATGATATTCAATATACAGCAATTCAACATTCTGTGAATAGACGATACAATACGTACAAATAGACGTTCTAATATACGAAATTCTAGAAGGACTTCGTAAATTAGGTTGCTTGTCCATGAAATTTCTATGTAACCAATTCAATTCTTCACCTTTTCAGCGTAATGAGAACAGTTTGTATCTGCTCAATATTCTGATATTAACCATTGAATCATGAAGTAGACATGTGAACTGTATGTCACAGGATTTGATGTGAGTGAATTAAGACATTAAAACATAGTTTTCCGACATTTCGGAATGTTTTATTGTATGCTCAGGGTTGGTGGTAAAATATTACAATATAAATACAACAACACTATAGGTATACAAATGGAAATTACAAAATAATAGCATACTGTACATAAGTATCACAAACTTTGCCGACCTTACAGAATATCTTGTATTTCTTGTAATAAGGACAGTACAGTTTGTGATCATTCTGTATAGTATATTGTAATTTCTATTTCTATATCTACAGTGATGTTATTCTTATATTTTAATGTTTTACCAGCAGCTCTGAGGATGGAATAGAAATATTCCGAAACGTCAGTAAACTATGTTTCAATGTCTTGACTCACTCCGACCAAACCCCGTGATCTACATTTCCCATTCTGATATTCGAAGTAAAGGAATTCAACATTCTGTCTATAGGCAATACAATACATATAAATAGACATTCGAGTATACGAAATTCTACAAGGGCTACGTCAATTAGGTTCCACATACACACACACTTACGGTGGGGACTTGACGTGGGGGCTCTAGAAAGCTAGAGCTGTTTTTTCTCCCGTCCGGGAATCGAACCCGGGACCCCATCACACAAAGCTAGCACGTTGTCCATGTTCGTAATGAACTCGAGAGGCTTCAGTAACAGCAACAATTAGAAACTATTTCTATTAACGTTGTCACTGCATTTGTTCACGTACACCTCACGTCGCACGCCCGATAATTCTAAAGGATTTTCCTATAAAGCTCTATCGTAACGTTACTGTTCGCGCATGCGCAAATGCCCCTTCATAACGTTCACGCCCCATTGCTACACGCTGAGTAAATACTCTGCGCTGCGGTCTTCTCTCCGCTCCGGAGCTGCGGCGGTCGCAGGGCAGAAGGCAGGGGCCGGCGCGCGGCGGTTCAGCTCCTTGGCGCCGTGATTGGGCGTAACGGGCGGAAGAGATCGAACCAATCGGCGTCCATCAGGCGCGCGGCCGCGGCGGAAGCGGGCCTATTATCGTGCTTAAGCAGTTAGCTTCCCCGCCCCGCCCCACTTCGCCCTCCAGCCCGCCGGCCTCTTCGCAACTAATGACTACTCTCGCTCCGCAGGCGAGACAGTTCGCCCTAGTAACTATTTTCAGTCTGCTGTTTATGTATTGAAACTTCTTAATTGTTTGTCCAGGAATTTTGTGTTCTGTATTTAATTAGGGATTAAAGAAATCCATATTCCACGCGCTCCGGGGGAGGGGGTGGCATTGCCATTTTGTTAGAAACTTCTACAGTTAACTGAGGAGCAATGGAAAGTTTGGTTTAAATACACCACACAACCAAGTGTGTTATTCGAAGAAATTGTATTTATGTCACTTGTACTGAAAGGTCGGTAGTCACGCCCTATTCCCAAGAATTCGTCATTCTGTACTGTTTATGAATGAAGGCTTGTTAATTCTATTTCTATCAACGTTTTTTATGTATATTGAATCAGTTATCCAATTGAGCTTCTGTTATCGCAAATTATATACCCACCTACGTGAAACAAAACGCAACTTTTCAGCCGAAGCCGAAAGTTTGCTATTGAGAAGGCACATGAGTAGCAGATGTTTCGCGGGCTGCATCTCGTCTCTTGGTTTTGAACATTCACTTAAACAATTGCTTGTGTTCAGTCTTTTACAAAACCATTAAAATATTGAAAAATTAAATTAAAAAATATAACAAATAAAAATGTATGATGAATAAACTGTAAATGTAAATGTAAAAACAATAAATGCACATATTTTTTCATCGGTAGTATGTTGCTTGGATCTGTTATATTACAAAGAAAATGTACAACTGGGATCTATTGCATATTCTAGAATCCAATTATATTGGCGAAATAGACTGGAGGCTCATGCGTCATCCACGACAACGGGTACACACTTGAAACTTTTCTCGCCTATGTGTCCTTCCTTCATTCAAAAGTTATCCTCAATTGTATTGTTAGGTGCCGTACTCATCACCAACTAATTCTGACTTTAATTATCATAAAATTAATTACAAACAAATGAAGTTAACACAACTCGTTACATTTTTATAATTTATTTTTACTTATCGTAAATGGAGAGGGGTGTTGTCCCAAGCGTTACATATTTACTTAGAGGGGATCAAGCGGGCTCCAGGGTGCGTTACAGGGGCAGATGGGCTATTTAAATTACTCCAAATTCGTGTTACGTAATTTTTGGTCTGCCCCCCATGGCGATTGAAGAGATACTTTGCGCGTAGAAGGAGCTTAAGGTGTGGTGTTGTTGTGTGCGTGTGCGTGTGCGCGTGCGTGTGGTGTGCGCGCGCGCGCGCTGCAGCGAAGCTAAGGGGTTGTGTGTGTGTGTGTGTGTTGTGTTGTGTGTGTGTGTGTGTGTGTGTGCTGCAGCGTAAGCTATAGGTGTTTCTTGTGTATTGCTGTGGTCTGTAACGAAGCTAAGTGGTGTGCAGCGATCTTAGATGGTTGCGTTGTGTGTGTGCTGCAGCGAAGCGCGCCGACGTGGAGACGGACGTGGCGCTGTACATCGGGCTGGCGGTGGCGTGCGCCGTCTTCACGCTGGTGGCGGTGCTGATCGTGCGCATGCTGCGGCGCAAGGGGCGCGACCACAGCATGTACAACATGGCGGCGTCCGAGTACCAGCCCGAGTACTTCCCCGAGCACGACAAGAAGGGTCTGACGCTGCAGTCGGCGGCGGCGGCGGCGACGGCACAGCCGGACCTCACGCAGTCGGCCGTGCTGGGGGTGACGGTGCCGCCCGGGTACGAGTACCCGTTCTCCGAGCCGCAGCACCTGTCGCGCTCGTGCAGCGAGCACCACTACGACGTGCCGCACGTCGGCGGAGGCAGCGGCGGCGGGGGCGACGGACGCTCGTCGCCCGGCAGCTCGCGCTCCGCCGCCACCGCCACCGCCACGCCCCCCGCCGACTGCAGCTCCAGCGCCAGCGGCGGCGGCGGCGGCGGCGGCAAGGCGCCGCGCTCCGACTCCACGCGCAGCCTCAGCAGCCTCTGCTCCTCGGGTCAGTACGCACATTCACGTCGGTTTACGCTGACAAACAATTCGCTTAATTTACTTTTGCCAACACCACTTTCGCCCGGTTATGGGATTTATTTTAAAAAATATTAGAGGGTAAAGTAGCCGAAAACACTGTCAATCAAAACAAAAGGATTCTTTTGGTATTCCAGCGTTATCAATGAATTTTTGATTTACAAAAAATCCTTGTTAAATCTTAAGGCACAGATGATGACGTCCGTTTATGTCTCGGATAATTCCGGCATCAAACATTCAGTCAATCGCAGCGAGAGTCATAGGGTGATAGCGGTAAACCGACCACCAGTTTACCTGCTAATATCCCCCACAGATGTACCCGTTACGTCACAATAAAGTTGTTTCCAAAAATTAACGTTGATTCTCGTATAAATTAATGCTTCTGATATACAAAAATTAAATAACGTTTTCAACTCGTTTATGTTGCTTTATTGCATTAGAACAAATTTGAATACTCTTAACGTCGCTCATTGCCAAAACACATACTGGTGCAATAACGTTTAACATTATAAACTAGTAGCATGATATACTATTAACGGTAAGTTTGCTGTCCGTCCCGAGCGTAGAACAGAATGGCCTGTAACGAGCTGTCGTGTTGGTGTTCCGCAGGGTCGCGGGGCGAGACTCCGTCGCCGGGGCTGGGGCCGGGGCCGGGGGCGGTGCCGGGGCCGGTGGCCGACGAGTGCGCGGCGGCGGCGGCGGCCAGCGTGGGGCCGGCCGGCGCGCGCCTCTGCCTGCCCGAGGCCGGCGTGGCGTTGACGGTGCCCGAGGGGGCGGTGGCGCGCGGCCAGCGCGAGCAGCTGTTCGTGGCGGTGCTGCGCGACGACGCCCACCGCCCCAAGCTGCCCGACGGCCACACGCAGCTCAGCCCCGTCGTGGCGTGCGGGCCCCGCTCGGCGGCCTTCAAGAAGCCCGTCATCCTCAACTTCCACCACTGCGCCAGCCTCAAGCACGGCAGCTGGAGCGTCTCGGTGTGGAGCTGCGACTCGCACGGGGACGAGCCCTCCACGTGGCAGGTGAGGGAGGCGACGTGGCGGTGGCCACTTTCTGGAAAAACAGGGAAAATCAGTATTCTACTCGTGAAATTAAAACTAATGGTGTTTAATTATACATATAAAATGCCCCAATTAGGGCGATGTGTCTCAAAAACTTTATCGCTTTTTCTATCTGATTTTTCTTACCGCTCCTCTCTACCAATCAATCAATGTGAGTCATTTATTTTAGGGGCAGTATGTATCGATCCCTGTGTCAATGTGCAATTAAACTGCGTGTGTACCAGAATATTACCTCTTTGATTTTAATATAGCTTTCAATTAAAATGAGATTCATTTGAGTCAACCAAGGCTTCAAATGTTGGATCAGCATGCAGGCAAGAAAGACAGCACAAATCTACTTGTTCAAGTATGACTTATCAGAAATGTTGTCAAAGCTTTTTCATTTTCTAAAAGTAAATTTTCTGAATTCAGTGATATGTATAGAAATTCCTTGTAGACATTCAACTGTTCCTGAACATTTATATCGGCAGAATAATGCAATGAAGCTACAGCAAAATAACCAATATGCATTGTTTTCAAGCATTTCTGTAGATAGGGAGAACATTCACAAGAAAACTGAGCCTGATAGGCAAAAACTAATTTCATATTTGAATTATGCATTCAAGACTAGCAAATAACACCATTCACATTTTTTGTAACAAAAATGCTGTTGACCAGTATTATTAAGATACTATTTTGTCTTGTTTTTATCCATTCTAGTGACAATTAATATCTATTTCAAACTTTTTTACAGAAAGTGGTTACGCTTGGAGAGGAAACAATCAACACTCCAGTTTTTACACAATTGGACCACAGCCAAGTGTTTCTTGTGTCTGACCAGTTAGCTCGTTATGTTATTGTGGGAGAATCGGCAAGTGCCACTAGTAAAGCTGTGAAAGCTCTTCGCCTTGCTGTGTTTGGACCCTCACCCCTCCTTCATCCACAGCCTGTAGAGTACAGTGTCCGTGTGTACACTCTGGAAGACACACTTGCAGCTTTGGAGGTGAGAAATTCCATAGAAACAACTTGAAGTTCATCAAGTTGGATAATTTGTTGTACTGATATATCAGTAGATCATATGTGCCTGCTTAGTTTATAACAATATTGCCCACAATCCGAGTCTGTACATACAACAAAGTTGGTTAAAAATTATTGAGTTTATTTGTACAGATAGGGAAAATTTTCAAAGGACAATCTCAATTCATTTTTAGTTATTGTAACTCAGTTTAAGTTTTCCATTTCTTGTATCAATACCTCAAAATTGTATACCATAATTTTAGTTTATCATATGTTTTTTTCAACATTCTAATTGAACAATTTTTTTAAAATAAAGATTTAGTGGAATTGAACTCCACATGGTGGCCAATCTGTAGCAACTGTAAAAAGCAAAAATTGAAATAAGCTAAATGTAACTTAAAATCAATTTTCAGAAGTTAACAATTACTTTTCCATACATTATAGTGTTTCTATCTTACTTATTAACATTCACTATTGAGAAATATCATTGTCAATGGCATACCTGAAAGATTTCAAAGCCAAATGTGTTGTGAAGACTAGGCTTTTATGCCTATAATGTTCTGAAGTGGGCTGTCTTAACAGCTTGTGATTCCTAAAAATAAATAAAACCTCCCTTTTATATTCATGACAACACAAAAAATAACTAAAAAAGTAAAGAAATTTAAAATTAAAATAAATTTGAAGTATTTAATTTCATAAAATTGAACTTTGAATAAAATTTAGTTAATTAACAAGTGGAAAAGGCAATTTTTTAATACTATAAACAAATTTAAATAAGAAAATTAATTTTATTTTTAAGTAATGTTTTTTCAACTGTGATTGTTTTGTCTATAGGGAGTGGTGCAAATGGAATCTCAGCTTGGAGGCTACCTCTTGGACAAGCCGAAGACCATGTTGTTTCAGGATGGTGGAGCAAGTCTCTGCTTAAGTATGGAAGATATTGGCCCTGGTTGGCAGAGCAAACCACAGGCTGATTATCAAGTGAGTTACCTGTTACTAATAACATATTCAAAGGTGTTCTAGCATGATAAATACAAACTATATGAAACTAGAGTGAAATATTATAGTTCAAGGAAGCAATTGTCCCTCTAAGCGTGAGTGTGTAAAACATCTTGCTTCTAACATTTTACAGTATTTAATGAATATGTTGTCATCAAGGAGTGTGGTACTTTTACTATCACCTTTGTTCTTGTTGTTGGTTTTAAATTTGAATTGGTCCTAAATTTTAGTTTTCATGGGCAAATGGAAAGACAATCAGTTTCTGATGTGGAACAATTTTTCAAATGGCATTTATTTAATTATCTATTTATTTTTATTTTTGTAATTTGACGTTTGGGCTGCTCTATAAACTTAAAAAAATAGGGAAAAAAGAAAACTACTTACATATTTTGAAAATAAATAAGTAAAAAATGTTAACTTCTTTAAATACTCCATATCTTCTCTGAGCATGTTTAAGCAATTCGGCTAGCGATGCTGACAATAAAGGTGAATGCTCATTTTTGTAGTCAACGATCTTTAAAGACATTAGATGGGAGACATGTACTAGCCCGGCTGGGAGACCCAGTGCTCCTGTGAGCCCATGCCACTTTCCTAGATTGTATTCTAATTTCCCTCCAGATCCTGAAATAGTTGTATGCAAGGTGAAGTGGGAACTAAAGATAACTTTGCCAGATTTGATCTATCAAACAACTGAGATTAGAATTTCTTATCAATTCTTTACTTTTTCTTACTTTTTTTATTTTTTTTTTATTTTTAAATTCTGCCTCCTACAGTAAAACCTGTCTAAACCCGAATCACTTGGGACACAAATTTATTCCAGTTTTGGGAGGTTTCTGTTTTATCAGGGTTGTCCATTTTATGATATTTGTTATATTGGTATTTCCATCCTGACACTAGTAAATTATATGACTTCATTATAATTATAAAAATATATTAACATATAACATATTTATGAAAGAAATCACCAATAAATGAACATTAAAAATATTTCTGACAATTAAAAAGAAAAACTCCACAACTTGTGTACTAAAATAATATTATTTTTTCAAACATTCATCTAGTTTTTGGTTTTCCCACTAACTAACACTCACCTCACTGCCTAGCGACTGCTTGCTGACTCTTTCATCACAGTCAATGCGTCACAGCTCAGAGTCTTTCTGATACTCTCGCGTGGGCTTGACCAATGAGACTCTGGTTGAGAGTTTACTATTTGAATTTGCGGCCAGGAGATGCCATGACTGAAAGTCATATCATATTTACAGAGAAATTAAAGCTGACTTGCAAATGCATTAATAACATTAAGAGTATCTCTGCCAAGTGCATTAAGTCAAAAGATATTCTGTTTTATGAAGTTTTGTCCCTGCAGGACATAAAAAACCATTCCGTTTCCTTGTCGGATAGATTCCGTTTTATCCTGTTTAAAATGCCATTTAGCTTCTCAGGCAAGAGAAAGTTTCCAGTTAAGGTAGGTTTCCATTTGGTGCAGGTTCTGGTTTAGACAGATTTTACTGTATAAACATTTTTACGAAGAATATGTTTGAATGTTTTATGTTTGATTTGTGAATTCTTTCCTTGTTTTTTTTTGAATTGTTTTATTAAATCATTTAACTTTATAGCAATAATGTAAAATAAATTAACAAGTCACTAAAAGTTAACAATTGTTAGTTGTGGGTGGATAGCTCTTGTAACAGACAAGAATCTCTGCCTATTTAACATCCTAACCTGAACTAGGAAGCTGTGAAATTATTACAAAATCAAGAAACATTCAGATGAAAATGTTTATTTTTTCTCTTGACAATTTGAAATTTCATTGTATTGTTACATTTTTATGGATCATTTCCTTGCTTTAGTAAATAAAATGGGAATTAATATAGCTAAAATTGGGCCTATAAATGTGTACTGACATCTCCAAAAAGACTGTCACGGGCCAGGTATCCAGTGATACATCACCACTGGAGAAATTTGTACAACCTTTACTTCTAAATCTCATACCAGTTGCTGTGGACACACTGCCCACAAACTCTTTTAAACTATTTACTCAGCTTTGACCTGCCTACCACAGACCCTTCATGAGATCAACCACAACTCTCGAAAGAGTGGAAGAGACTGGCGACTGGGGCCAATTTGTTTACTGTTCAGACAATTTTCAATACTTTCTAATTTCAGTCTGAGATTAGATTTTATATTCATGGCACAGAACAGAATATTGTGTGTGATAAAAGAATAATTGTGATTCTTGTTTATGATTTTACCTACTAATATATGTTGAGTAATTGTTTGTGCCTATTGTTCCCCAATGTTTTATAATATTATTACATACTGTTTTTTTCTGATGCAGGAAATTCCTTTCCAACACATCTGGAGTTCAACTCATAACCATCTGCATTGTTCTTTTACATTAGAAAGAACAGACAGGCACATACATTCTGTTGCGTTCCGAATACTTGCCAGTCAGAAAGGTAGTCAGACACACCGACAGATGTTTCGAATACATGCTGATTTGCGGGTTGCAAGTCCAAGCAGTACTTTGGTGAGTTTAACTATTTGCTTTCTATGTAGTCATACCAATTAACATAAATTTAACACATCACAACATTTGGTCTTGTTCAGTATAAAACTTTTCTTATAAGAAATTGTAGTATTCCTCTACAATGTTTTTTTCAAAATTAATTTGATATTTTCAAATCCCAAATAATCTGCAGCTAGAATCCAAATTTTTAGAATCATATGTTGCATTCAATACATTTAAAGTAAATGTTTTTAATTCTGTTGTTTATTCTAATGTATTGTCACATTATCTCTAAACATTAATCATCTACATCTTATATCATTTTTTGACTTCAACTTTTGTGTTGGAATAACCTTGTTTGCAATGTATATCAAAAATTTGTCTATTAGATTAGTGTGATGTCTCCAGTGCTTTAAAAAGTTTTATGAATGAACATATTTATTAATTTGAGGTTTTTTGATTAGATTAGAAGGATATGAATAAAAAATTGCCAGTTTTCCACCAACAGACTGACATGACCAGTAACACTTCACTTGCACCGAACAATATACCGAAACAGTTCTATGTAATATTTTCTTCTCATGCTTTTCTTTCTCAGTTAACTCTATTTTGTCTGTAACTGCCACCTATATTGTTATTATTAAGGTTGTTGTTGTTATTATTAAACAAAAAATAATTATTATTATTGTTGTGGTTTAAAAGAATAATTAAAAATTGGAAACACATAGGTTAACCAAATGCAAGATGACTCCGTTAATTTTGAGGTCTCCTGACAAGTTTTTTTGAAAACTAATTCTTACTATGATGTGAAAATGAAATTACTACCTGCTAAGAATTGTTCATACTATTTTACGAAAAATATATGTCAAGAATTTTCTCCAAACCGATATGTAAAAATAGAATATACTAGCCCCCTTGCAAGGATCGTGGTATAAATTTATATGTCACCAATTTTTTAATTTCATTGATGAATAATAACATTATTCATTTAAATTTTGTTATCTGTAAACCAAGTTTACTTGGGAACAAATCATAAAAACATTGAATTCGTTAACTTTAAAGTAAAAAATATGCATTCAAGATTGACATCCAGTATTGGTGTGATCCTGTAACCCTACAAGAATGTGTTGTATTATATTGTAACATTACTGAATATAATATTCACAAAACTAATTGGTTTCTTTTCAAAAATGATGGAGAAATGCTAAACTATACTCAATGAACCAGGCGTAAAGTATTATAAAAAATCTGCTGTGACATAATTTATATTGAATTTGAACTATGTTTAGCTAAACACCATCATGGTTTTGTAAAAGGAAGATATATTACCTTGAACTTATTGCCTTTTTGGGAATATATTACAATATTTTGAAATATGTATAATGAATAGACATTGTCTATGTAGACTTTACAAAAGCGTTTTGTCTCTGTTGATTGTTCTATCATTTTTGAAAAAATCTTCTTGCCTCTCTTTTCCCAATATCTATCTTGATACTTTTAATTTTTTTCACTATAATCACCTACATATACATACTACCTTAGTTTGTAGTATCTACAGTATTGTATTCTTGCTACAAATAAGATTCGTTTGTTTCTTGCTCTGGATTACCACAGGGTTCTAATTTAGGATCGTTACTATTTGTAATAATAATAAATTAATAATGTGGTTGAAAACATTGATTCTTATATCTTATCCTATGCAGGTAAAATATGACTCAATTTTTAATGAAGTAATATAATTTGTTTAATCTTTGAGGGTTTAAGCCTTTTGGTGTTGCTTGTGTAACATGTGAAAGATATTAAAATGATGTTGTTGATTAACATGCAGGTACCTAGTAGTCCTGCTGCCACACGTCCTGCTCGAGCCCTGACAGTTACAACAAGCAGTGGCTGCAGTTCTATGGTTACCACTCTTGATCCAAACTCCTCCCCTTTCAGGTATTGAAAATATACAAAAAGAATGCATTGGTTATTAAATATTTGGTTTTGATTTTTAGTGTAGAAAAACAAGTAATGAATTAAGTTAATAGGAAATAATGATGCATCAGATATAGATTATTCAAGAGTTACACAATTTGAATTTTTCTTTCTTTCAGATTTCATAGAACATTGAGGAAACAACTTTGCCAGTGTCTGGATCCCCCCAATGCTCGAGGAAATGATTGGAGGATGTTGGCTAAGCGGCTGAATGTAGACAGGTTAGTAAAACATATGAGATAGGATAAGAAAACAAACAGTTATGTACTACAGTACAGAATAAATAGTTATATGACATAAATGCATTATTTAGTATAGCGTTAATTGTGTTATTTAACTAACCTACAGTTTCTTAACTTAAGTGGCTGGAGAATTATGAAAAATGGAACATTGACAACGGCTTTGGGTCAAATAGGGTCATAGTGTTTATGGGTACATGTGGTTAGTACATGGGCATCTACACACCATATTCCTGTCTTCTCAACCTGAGAAGTGAATTTTCTCATCGTCACACAGCAACATATACTGGGACATTGCAAGGCAAATACGCACTATAGTTTTTGCTCGACCGGGAATCGAACCCGGAGCCATGTAGTCGAGAGCGAGTACGCTGACCAAGAGCTAGCCACAAGCCAACGTATATGATTATACCAACTTTTTTATAATAAAGTGACATTTAATTTAAACATATGTTATATTTAACAATGGAACATTATTATAATACAACAAAGGGGATTTGTGTTAAGCAATAGCAAAGAATGACAGCATAGCATCGAAATGCTGTAGAAACAATGGTAACAAGAAGAGATCAAAGAAGAAAGTATTATTAAGGTCAGAAAAATTGTTGATGATGGTAAGCCAAGAGCGAGTAAAAATGTGTGTTGAGGAAAGGAAGTTAGTTGACGGGATGAGAGATGTGCATAGAAATTGCGGTAGATCATAATGTTGCTGAACATAGTAACAAACAATTTGTGTAATATAAATTGAGTTTAATTTAGGAACTATGTTTGCTGGAATGATAAATAGTTGACCAGATATTAGTTGGAGATGATAGAAACAGAGCATTGATTGTGGTATGTAAGAAAAAAATGGTTGGAGTGGCAACCGAAAATGTAAGTGTTCAAGTATACAGCGTCTCAGTAGCCGAGCATCCTGAAAGGAATGTTGAGAGGAAAATAATACGTATTTAAGGAATTACAGATAAATTTATTATTTAATGTACAAAGCCAAGGTTGTTATAGGATGTTAAGATTATTAGTTAATCAATTGATTGAAGAATGAATTAGAAATTGCCATGATAAAAATATTCTAAATTTTAAAATATATGGATCCAAATGTGTGTGTGAATGATAAAATTTGTAAATATGTGTTAGAATGAGTTGTTTATATAAATTTTGCTATGTGTTCAAAGTCACTATAGAATTGTTCAGAAAGTTAAAATGTAGGTAAAAGTAATTAATTTTGTATTACTATAATAATCCAATTTTACGTATTCTTTTTTCAAAACGTTGATGTTCTAGGAGATTTAGCTGCCAATATTAATTTTTCCTTATCTAAGTAATTTTACCAGCTGAATTCTCGTACAAGCGGTAGATTTTCAAGCCTGCAATTTCACATAAGTAGTGTAAAGAAGCACTGAGAATGTATAAGAACTGCGAAACCAATGTAATGAGTATTGGAAATATAACTAAAAACTGAGCTAGCCAAAATAATAAATATCTGACATGTATCTTTTTTTTAATATCACATAGACACAATTGTATATAGAGTAATTCATGTAGTTTAGAGGAAGTTATTTAATTCTGCAGAAAATCAAGTTTGAGATTTTTACAGAAATTCTCATTTTGGGGGTTTGCCGAGAGCAAAAAAAATAAATCTGCCTTGCATCTGTCCTGTGAACAATACTAGCGCCTACACTATTTTGAGAATATTTTTTTCAAAATGAATATTCTATGATCGATTTTGCCTGACTTGAAGCCCTGCAATTTTTTTTTTTTTAATGGCCCCAATCATTTTACTACAAATTTCTGTGCATTGTAATTGTGTTATGTGATGATGATGATGATAATGGTGATTGTTCTGTTCTAAAAATTGGTTGCTTACTAATAATTTTGAGATATTTTTAATCACCAAATAATTATTAATGTTTTTCTCTTTGCAATAGGTATATAAATTACTTCGCTACTAAAGCCAGCCCTACAGATCACATTCTTGATCTATGGGAAGCTCGCCATCGTGATCCTACATCTGTCACAGACTTGCTGAATATACTGAGAGTGATGGGCCGAAGTGATGCTGCTTGTCTTCTAGAGAAAGAACTTGGACCATGGTTATAGGAAAATCTTGTGTAGCTAGAATGTTACACATGGAGAAATGATGTGCCTTAAAATAGAGTGGGTTAAGAGTTTGTCTGTTGAAAGGATTCCTTTCCAGTGATAGAAAACCTTATTGAATTATTACAAATGATGCTTTATTTAAACATATGTGACATGTTGTGTATTTAGATAGTTCTTGACACACTTAATTCAGATTCACAGAGTGTTGAATGCAAACATTTTCTGGAAGCATTTGCAAAGACAATCAGGTGCTGCCGTAATGCAATCATAACATCTCATCTGTGAACATGAAGATGACTTTTGTACATAAGTGATCATGAAATATGAAGAATTCTATGGTGGGACTGCAGGACTAGCCACTTCAGATGTGAACAAACCATTTAATTAAATGGTTTTCTCTCCTTAGTGAATCAAGACATCTGTGACAAAACTGATGACAATATACATCATCTTTTTTTCTATTATTACTTTTTTTTAAATTTTAATTTTGTTTATTCTTTTAACCTTCTTCTTTTTCTTCAAAGTTATTGGTTTTGTTATGCATGCCTTGCTATATCAATACCTGCAACATAGTCTGAAACAGAAATTGAAATTGTGTAATAAATGCTTTGTATATCATCCATCCATTTCAAGTAGTTGTTTTTTTTTATTTAATGACATCTCTAATCTCATATCTGAAACAATACTTAAATTACCTTAAACAAAATAGATACTAGAAGGATACAGAATTGATGAGAAGAAGTAAAGAATATTTTGTGATCAATTATCATTAAAACACTTTTTTTTTCAAGCAATTTAAGTTGTTGCATAAAAAACTGAATAGTAATATTAATTGATATCCAAATTCTGTAACAAAATCAGATCTATTTTGTTCATGTTGGTTTCTGATGGTGAAAAGGAGTCCAATATAAAGTTATGTCCAAAGAAGGTGCTCTTCACTAACCGGTTCTGGAAAAAATGTGTCCACTACTTAAGAGATGTTTGTCCAAAAATTCTTCTTTAGTACTTCTTTAGTTATGGGTCAGTTTCTTTTATCTACAAGCGGATATTGATATTTTGTTCAAGATAAAATTTAAGTTTTGATTTATGATGTGGTAACCCAGTATCATAAAGGTATATTTTAAGGAAAGAAAATAAGGTAGTAGTGGCACAGCTAACTGATGACCTGTAGGTCAAAAACATCCCTTCATGAGCCATAAATCCTTTTGAGTTAGTGAATCTAATTTCACTTAGATAAAAGTATCTTTACTGTTACAATTTAATTTATGTTATGAAGCAATTACAAAAATGGAGAAAATGACCAAAAAATGTCTATCTTGAACAAAAATACTTTCAAGCAGTTTCCAAATACAAAATTACATTTTTTGGTATTTTTGATTTCTGAAAACAACTTTCACTGACCATACACACATAAATGAATAAAACTTAAACTTCTATTGTTTTAAAACACCTAGTTCACAAATTATAATAATATTTATTAATTATGTGAAATTGTTATTTAGCAAATACCATATTGCACTTGTCAGCTATTTGCCCCTTAACTACCTAAAACATCCTTTGTGATTTCAAACTCACTAGGAAGAAATATGTTTCATTCAAAAGTATCAGTTAAAAACTTAACCAATAAGATAATATGAATGCAAATATGATCTGTAGTTAAACATAGAAATGAAAAACACATAAAGCTCCCATTAGCTCTCGTTAGCCCTTAGAAGTTTTGCCACAAACAGTGCAACAATTTTCATCAGCTCTTGGCAGGGTAAGGGTTAAATGAACTGTACCTTTTATCCATCAAGTAGCTTATCACAGCACTCTGTTTTGCTTCCTGACTCCTCTCCTTCTATGACCCTTTTGTTTCACCAAGAGCTTGATCATTCTGATTAGCCAAGTGTGCTGTGCAAGTGTGTTTGCTTGTGTCCACCTCAGGACCCAAGGTGTCTCAATGACTTCCAAAAGGCCTGTCTTTCAGAAAATGAAGCTGTTCATAATACTTTATGCATCTGGGTCTGGCACCTGCATGAAGTGCAAAAAGATGCAAATACCAGATGATACACTGTTGGAGACATTTGCGATAAAGTGTGAAGTAAAAGATGTGAGTTATTCAAAGACGAGATATGTGATAGTTGTGCATTAGAAAATTATCAATAAATATAAAATAATAGTAGTAAGGAAAACTTTTTTTTAAATTGTTTTTATTATTTTATTTTTTCTCTGAAATTTATTTGGATGGGCTCTACTTTGCAGCATAATAGGAAACTACTCCACTGGTTCCTAATTGATCTTCATTTCTTTTCTCCATAATAAGAAACACACAAGAGTTAATAGGAGAAAATAGTGTGCTGCAATCATCTTGTGTTTACATTACTCTCAACACACTCAATGTTGTGCCCCTGGTGGTCTTAAAAAATGTAATATTGAAATAAATAATAGGCTTTGTGCCAAATAAACTTCTTCAGGAGGACAAAAAATTAATTTTCAAAAGCAACTTGAAAGCTAAAAATGTTGCAGACAAAGAATCACTCTTTATTACATAGGTGTTCATTAAATTTTTAGTTTTCAGCCTTCATGAATGATAATGCTGTCAAGTAATTAGTGTTTTCTTTTGAATCATTGCTTTTACACTTATGTTAAGAAATTTATCCCTACAAAATTTTTTCCAAAAGTAGATAATTTTTTTCACTCAAATGTCTTGTGTATCTGAAGTATCTTTTATCACCAACAACTTCTAATCCATCCTTACAGTTTTGAATCATTGTACAACAATGAATCAGAATGGTACAATTGTTACTCAACATGTTTAAAATTTTGTTTTCAGTCATCTCTGAAGTGAATACATTGTAAATATTGGGAGCTATCTCATTGCTTCATTCACAAAAACATGTGAGGATTATTTTCATATTGTTTATGTCTCAAGTATGCATCAACTGACTTGAATATTCTTGGCAATTCTGTTTCACTGCTGTTTAAGTAATGAAATATTTACTTTGAAATGTGATTTAATACATTATTGATAATTGGCGAAGTAGTTTTAATTCTTTTACTTTTCTTTGGATGGATGATAATAACTTTTTATGTGACCACTGTGTTGTCTTTAAACCATTTAACTACACTGATCAAGATAAACCTTACCAGAGTTAAAATGCTGATGTTGTTTTAAGTAGGTTTTGTAGTGTTAGTGACTGAAGTCACTCATGAAGAATGAATTGTTATATCTTAGAATGTTTTAAGACTGCCAATGATTTAATGCTGGAAGTTCAATTAAATATATTTTATCAATAAGTATATCAATCAGAGAAAAGATTATAATTGCCTGTAAATGAACATTTTTATTCTGTTACAACACTTAAGAGGTATCTTTTACCAATTTTGGTGCACTGAATTTCAAAATGCATTTTGTGTTAAAAACATTTATTTTTTGGCAAAGTGGAAAACTTGTATTTTTAAATTAAAGAATTGATTTAAGTTATTCATATTGGAGTACAAGTATGTTATAAACTTTATGAATGTTAAATATGTATTGCCAAAATTATCTTTTTAGATATTTGTTTGAAGTTCTACTTAAAAATTCTTAGGAGCAATCAAAAAATAATGTTTTGGTTGTAAATATACTACATTTAAATTGTTGAGATTACACATTAAAAATTTGTTATCTTTAAATGTGAGAAAATTTCTGAAGAGCACTGGAAGAATTTTCAATGCAACAGTGCAAAAAAAGTCATTGTGTATATAGTCCAAGGCCCTTGCTTTTTCAATACATTCCGAGGCTAATGTCAAACGGAACTAACTACAGTAGCCATGGACATAACAGTACATCCTGTGCCTATTAACTTTATATTGGCATTTGTGAGACAGGCAAATTAGATATATCATGATTATTTTGGTTGCATAGAGTATTAATAATGTTGGCAACTGGTTTCAGAATTGGAGGTTTTTAAAGGTTATTTTGAGATTTTAATTATTTTGTGATTTGATATTCATCATTTGTTTTGTTGTGTGTTTGTGGTTTATTCATTCTCAAGAATTGAATAATTACAAAATTATTGTAATAAATATACACAAAAAAGAAATTTTAGTTTTAAAAAGTAGTACAATGAAAGGAGAGAAGTATGTTCAATGAAAATTGTAAGGTTAAAAGGACATAAAAAATACCTCTGATCAAAATCATTTCTCTGCATCTGGTATCAGACTAGTTTCAGATGAATCTTGCATATTCGCCTGTACCCACAATGACACTGAATATATTAACAAAGACTTGAAGAATCTGCCACCTTGCTCTGCACAAATTTAAAGAGAAGTAACAGGGATTTTATGAAAGCAGGCTTGTGAAGCAGTTTGAGATTGTCCAAAATATTTCTTTGAGGCTGAGAACTTGTGAGTGTTTCATGTTTGAACATTAAACTTGAAAAAACAGACATCAAAGAGCTCCTAATAATGCCATATTAAATCTTGCCTTCCATAAAACCTTTGTAAGACATGACTTTCATTCACTGATGAAATAATTCAGTATTACATGCACGGAACACAGTGTCACTGTACTATTTATAAAATAGAAAATGTGCCAAAACTAGTTATGATTTTAATAAATGAACTATGTATTCAAATTCAGTGCACCAATTTCCAATTAATAAGCTTTTTTTGTGGGCAGAATTGTTGTTGCTAATGTTATTGACAAAATGCCTGATGTAGATATTATTAAAATTATTATTACAAATATGCCATTACAGTTATGTTTCAATTGCCTCTTATGTATGCATAAAAAAGAAATAGCTGTGTGGGTAAAAGCTAATATGAAAATTAACATTTTCAGTATATTCTAGCTGTGCTGAGTGCCACCATTTTGAAGTGATAATGAAGCAGTTCTGTCTATTTCATGTTGGGGTCCAATGAGAACAATTACTAAAAGCCTTGAAAGCTCACATTCGTAATTGTGACCTGATCTGCTAGACATGTGGGTTAGTTGTTTAACCACATTTGTCAGTATGATTATGTTTTAGAGATGAGAACCAGAAGGTCCTAGCTGATTACAAAAACATTTTTTGGAATGAAAATATTTTTTTTCCTTTTCTAACATAATAATGAATGTTATTGTTATAATTACAATGAGTGCTGAATGTGAATTATTCAAAATCAGTTTTGATGTGTAAGGGAAGATATGTCGCAGAATCTGAATATTAGGAGGATAACTTGGCATGAAATGATGAGGTTTTATGTCTGCAGTTTTTTGTGATAGAGGGGAAATTAATTTCTATGTTTTCTTTGATTTCGAAAAAATGGAGAGCATTTTTAAATATCACAATAATTGTTTTTTCTTCTTGTGCTTTGAAGCAGAATATTCTGTGCCTGTTTTGTGAATCAAAACAAGAACTTCAATGTGGAATGGGAATTGTCTGTAATAAAGTGAATCATGGCAATTCCTTTTTCGTAAAGAGTAAAATGCATTAAATTGTGCCTGATATGTCCTGCATTGGCTTGAAAAGGTATAAAAATGTGAAACTAACTTTTTCTATTTTTTGCCCTGGAAAATGCTGCTACTAATGCCAGTAACTTTTTAGAAGTAGATAATTATAGTTGTTGCCATTTCTTCCTATTTAATTCTTTTTAAACATTACATTTTAATCACTATGTTATTTTAATTATGAAATGGCTGTGATATTGATGTTTATAGAAGATGTTTGATGAAAGTTCATTGCTGAGAGTTCCTAAATAATTTTAAGTTGTTGCTCCCTACAGTGAGAGAATTAATTATTAAATTTGTAAATATATTGGTAATTAGTGAATACTTTAGATTCTCTGAAAAAATTTTAAATGCATATTGATTGAACAGTCTGCGAAAGAAAATTATAGATTTTATGTTCACGAATCATAAAAAGTTAGACTAGCCTTGACCTAGGCCATTCCTATGGGCTAAAAGGAAAGAAAAATGGAATTGTATTTCTCCTACTTTTCTGAGCCTTTCAAAGGAAATAATCCTGAAAGGAAAGTACTAGAGTAAATACACAAAGTCATGAAATTCTCAGTGAGAAAAAGTTATAAGCAATTATCACCACTGGGCATCTCACTTCTATTTCTCCTATCAATTACATTTCAAAAATTGTTGCAAAAGAAGATATTTATTCTTAATTCTTGAAGCACTGGACAAGGCATCACAATGAAGACATTTTAATTTACATTTACTTGGGCAAACAAGAAGTTATGTAAATACATACTACACTATTCATGTAGATAATACATTTATACAAGTAAATTCTTATAAGTGAATACACAATACCATCATTTGTGTAGATTCTATTACATTTTTCTGGCACAATTTTGGTTGTTACTGTTGTTGGGTGTTTGTAAATTAGAAACAATGGTGCTTAGAGAAGGAGAATTCCAATATGTACAAGCATAAGTTTTTTTTCTTTTTTCACAAAAAATAGTCTGACAAGTCAGATCCTTCTCACATATTCATAAGAATTCCTTAGATATATTATGTTCAGAATTTTCCCTGTAGTATTTCACATTT